CCCTCTTTGCTGCTGATTCTTTCTTTCTCATCCCCTTGCAATCTCATTTCCTAAAATTAAGGATATTGCCTTGATCCAGTCGTCTTTTTTTGCTCATCTCCTAGTTTGTTTAGGCAATATGCAAAGTTTTCGCTAATCCTGTCCTCTTCAAGTTTCATGTTCATTAGATCTTTCTTGGTCACTATTTCGATGGCCTTTCGGATCTTGCGTTTTCTTGTATTTTCACCAAATGCAGCCAACCTGTCGGTCGATTTCCATTCGATTTCGTGCCCCGGTCGTGCAATGTGTTCCGCTATTTCGGATCTTTTCTTATCAATGTTCCTTGATTCGTAGGCCGATTTTTCTTCCTGTTTCACCGATATACTTTGCTCACAGTTGCGATAAACTCCCGAGCATTCAAGTTTGTCAGTCTTCTTGTGTTGCGTCGGCAGACTGGTGAAAAGTGTTTTCTTCTGCTTTGTTATCATCCTGATGTTCAATTTCCTCAGTAACGGTCGCAATTGTTGATTCAGTTGTGATGAGGGCAGGCAAATCCACTTTTGGTTTTCATCCTGATTCCTGATCTGATTTTCGTAAAATCCAAGTAGAAATCGGCCCTTTATAATCTCTACATTTTTTTCTATAAATACTCTAGGGTATCCGTTACTAAGGCAAAGCCGTGTCAGTTTGTCCAACTCCTCGTCCCATAAATCATTGTCCGTTAGTCCTAAGCTTCTGATAACCAAACTCCTCAGTATTCTGATCTTCCGTCTGTAGTTATGATGGGACTGAAAATTAAGGACTATTCCCACATATGAATTCTTTCTGCATAGTCTCCTCACGAGTGTCCCCTTGGGGCGTATGACTTCAATATCCAAAATTGGTAATCGTTCGTCCTCCTCCATGTACATTGTGAATTAAATTCTTCCGTCAAGTTGTTTAATAAAATTGAGGAATTCATTTAGATTTTCCTTAACATGCGACCGAAGTGCAAAGTAGTCATCCAAATACCGCATGAGCACTCTTGGTTGCAGTAGTGACTTCTCGAATTCCCTTTCCATCTTGTCCATGTACACATTTGCCAAAAGAGGTGAGAGTGGAGATCTCATCAGTAGTTCAAATATTTGCTCGTAGATACTGCCGTTAAATGTAAAATATGCCGTCCTTACTGTCAGGTTGAACAATCGTGTTAACGATTCTTTTGTATCCGTTCTGCCTCCAGGATGTCCTCTTCTCGCTCCAATATCTCTAGCAAGGCGCTTACCGCCTTCTCACCTAAGATGTTTGTGTACATGGACATCGAAATTTACTAACAGTTCCGACCCACCAACCCAATGTTGTGGATCCTTTGAGAAAATTCATATGAATTCTTGAAGGTATTCTAGAGTCTGTCAATTACTTTCTTGAGCTTCAAGCAATTGCATTCCGCCAGTTTGTGTATTGCTCCATGCTTGTTGTTGACTCTTAATCTAAGCGGATGTCTTTCTTTGTGTATCTTCAGTAGTCCGTAGGCAGTCGGTGGTCTTGCGTCATTTCTGATAAAAGATTTCATCATCCATCTGTAGATTTCCCCATTTGTATACATTTCCTTGAGCATTTTCTTCAGTATCTCGTTGATCTTCATGATTGGATCCTTGCTTAGTATTTGATAAGTGTTCCGGTCGGCAAGGATACTTTCCCTTTTATCCGTGTAATGTTTCCTGTCCATTACAACAGTCGCTCCTCCCTTATCCGTATGAAGAACTATTTGATCATTCCTTTGTAATTTTTTTCCTATACCAGCCAATTTGCTTCTGTGTATCGGTTCTTGATGTGTCAGGCTCCGTGGGATTATTTCCAGTTCCATCTCCCACCTCGTATCTTCTGAATAGTTATCTGTTATTTTGACAATTTCCACCAGAATATCACTAAAAACGTTACCTTCATTGCCTAGTTAAAAATGTAGCCCCTTTTTAAGAAATCTGTAGTTTCAGAATCCAGAGGGATTGAAGATAGGTTTACTTCCTTTGTCCTAACGTCGTCTGTAGTAGTTGATGCCTTCAATATAAACCATCAAAATTTGCCCGGGTTGGCTTGATCTTGCGCTATTTTATTATCCCATAGCTAAGCAATTTCTTGTCATGCTGCTTATTTATCAGATCCTTAACCCTCTGTGACTTCTGGTCCGTCATGTTCTGGAGTTTTTGAAAATCATCCAATATGAGACCCCTAGCTAGATCCTTCCTTAATCTAGACTTGAACTTAAATAGCTTACGCCTCTCAGTCTCGTAATTTCCTCTAATTTCTGGATGGAGGCGTGATAAAGTATTTTATTCACTGTGTCCGGATGACACTTCCTTA